CGGTGTTGGTTTATTTAAATTAACCATAATAATTAAATATAATATAATATAAAAGTAAAGTAAAGTAAAGTAACAGCCTATACATGTCCCACTGCTGGGCAAAGGCCTCCTCTATACAGAGGGTATCAGGGCATAGTCCACCACGCGGCCCCACTGCGGATTGGCGGACTGCACATATTTTCGAAATATATATTATTTTTGTTATTATTTCGAAAATATGCAGGTTTCCTCACGATGTTTTCCTTCACCGCGGAGCACGTGATAAGTCAGCACTTAAAGTTAAAAACTTCATTGGTGCCGGCACCGGGGATCGAACTCAGGTTGCTCGAGTATATTGAATTAAAGGCGAGCGCCCGGACACTGAGCTATCACGGCTATAATATAATTAAGATCTAGGTATAATATAATTAATAATTAATAATAATAATTAAATAAGGATCATAAACAAATATGTAATATATAACTGATCGAAAAACTGGTTTGTTATTCTGAGTGTATTATTAATTATGTTTAATCGCCTTAAAGTAACAAAAACCATGCTCTAACTATAACAACTTTGAATGTGATGCCAAATGAAGTTAGACCCCTGATAAAAAATTTATTTATAAAATAAAAATAAATAATTTTTTGGAACAAAAATTATTATATTTATTCCTAAAAAATGATAACACTAATCCATTATTGTTACTAATCATGGATTTAACATGTTTTCATCTTAATATTTTGTCTACAAATGAATATTTCAAAATAATTTGAATTTCGTTGCCATACTCCTTACGCGAAATTCATTTAAGACGAGCTTAAAATACATTGTTTAACGCTGGAACTTATAAGAATTACCTAGAATACTGATTGAATACTGTTACTTAGAAACAACGTGCGAAGTATTTGAATAAACTCAGGAAAATATGCATTAGATAAAATAAAATAAATAAAAACAAATTGTGCATAAAATAGTTGTTAACTGATTATAATATATAATATCGCATATTATAGTGTTGTTTTTATTTGATATAATAGTGGTTGAATCTCTTTATAAGCTTAATAAATGTATTCTTTTTTTATATGGTTTTAAAATAGTATTTATTACACAACAGCATAATTATATTGTCAATCTACATACATTTCAACTCATTTTGTACATGATCTTTCTTTTAAAAAATTCTTTCAATTTTGTTTAATTATTAATGATTATTAACTGACCCGACTGACGTTGTCCTGTCTTAACGATGTCTATTTAATTCGAATTGGTATAATTAATAATAAAAGCGTGTTTATTATTCTAATGCTTTATGATATACAATATTATTGGGTTTTTTTTCTTATGTAAGCTAAACTTTAATTATAAATAATATTATATGGTTGTTAAGTATTCTTAAATCTTCTAATTTTCTGCAAAACTTTTTTAATTTTTTTCTTTCATTAGTACCTTCTCCTGATAATAACAGCCGTTTACGCGTGATGGCCTGACCAAGGGAAATAGGGATGCATTTATATATATATATATATATATATATAATAGTAATCTATATATATATATATATATATAGATTACTATTATTATTAGGTAGTTAAACTATGTTTAATAAATTATAATTCGTTTAAAAGTATATTATTTGCTAAATGGCACTCATTTCTATTATCAGTAAAAATTATTCTTAATTTGTTATTAATCAAAATAAATTCCTTTGTCATAAGTAGACATTGAAAAAACAAAGATCATATTCAGTATGCAAATAAGACAAGCTACCTTTTAATCCTATCGTGGTCGTCATACTAACAGCTAATAGCCAGTAGGATACCTACCTGCTTTTTTAAATATATAACTTAGATTTATAATATATGCCATGTCACCTCATAACTTTATGCCAATTTTATGTCACTGTTTCGGTATTCTTGTTGTGTAAACACATTGTTTTACTTTAGCGTCAACTGTATTTATGTACGTTTCGAAAACTATTTAAATGTTACTAATAAATAATGATATGCCATTTAAGATAACTCAACAAACGATTAAGTAAATAAAATTATTGGATTATACAAAATATGTCATTTTCAATTTATAAAATTGGTGGGTACATTATATAATATATTCTACCCTAATAGGCACAGCCCCAATTTTCATTTTCCGCCAAATGCTTCTCTTAATATACGTATTTGTGTTTTTGATAAAAATATGATTATGCGGTCCAAAAAAAACTTATATCTCAATACATTTTAAAGTTATCCCTGTCAGTTATATATACGTTAATATATATAAAATAATTAATAAAAATGTTTTGTCGTTGACAACCTATTTTGATTATAGTGGTGATGCTGCAGTACATTTATGGTGAAAATGGTTATTTGTGTAGAAATACCACGCGCCTTTCAGTGTTGAAAGTTGAAACATAAGATAATACTTTACAACTTAACGGATTTCATTGCTTTTTCTTATTTTAAAACACCCTCTATTATTTAATTTTCAAATACGACGCGATAAAATTCGTAATTGATTTTTATTGAAACAAGACATAAATCGGTAGATTTTTTTTAAACATGGCATATTTAAAAGATGTTATATAAAGGCAGAAACGTCGCATTAAAGTATGCATGTTTAGTCAACACTATGAATGCGATAAAATCTATAGCTAGTTATATACTATCAATGTGATAAAATAGTTTTCCCCAAATACCGTTAAAAATATCAACACACAAAAAACAACCCCAGTGGGAGATTGACATAACTTGTGTTGTAGGGATGTTTTACTGACAATAATCGCACGAACAAACTTCCCGTACAGAACAATTACTTGTTCTCTTCGGGAATTGAGTTCCTAAGCCGTGACATAGCAACCAATAACTTAACAACTGTTTCTATTGTGTTATTTTACTATAAATAACTTCCTAAATAACTTCATAACTTGTTAGATATCCTTAAAATCCATTGTATATATGTATAAGAAATGTTTTGAACTATATAGTTTTTATGTTATATTATTGAACCTGTTGTGTATTGTATCGTCCCACACTGCGATGACCAGTACGAGGCTGCCACTCGAGAACCTTTCTTCCCCAACGGTTATCGGTTCTACGAGCTATATGGCCGGCCCATCGCCACTTCAGCATGCTAATTCTCTGAGCTATGTCGGTTGTGTTACCAGTGTGGGACGACCCCCCACTAGATGGAGTGACGACCTGTGCAAATGTGCGAGAAGTCGATGGATGCCGGTGGCTCAGGATCGTACTTCGTGGCAGTCTATGGGGGAGGCCTATGTTCAGCAGTGGACTCACACAGGCTGAAATGATGATGATGATGATGATTGTACCTGTTACACAAAAATTTTAGTTAAGTTTAAAAATTTTAGTCGCATCACCAAGCTGTCCCAAATGCTGATATATCGTAGCCCCCTATGTTTTGTACAAAATCTACGAAGTTATACCTAAAGACACGTACGAATTCCTCAGCTAACCTCGGCTACCGTCAATTATTTTATCATTAATTTTATTCTATTTTGATCAAAAAGAGTGGGTATTATTATTTGCTTCACATACGAGTTTTTGTGAAATCAAATGTGAAATTGCATTTCTTGTCCAAACGGTACGTAAAATTGATGCTGCTGCTTTTTGAAGGTAGAAGGTAGGTATCCTACTAGTTGTTAGCTGTTAGTATGACAACAACGATATAATTAAAAGGAAGCTTGCTTGTTTTTTCAACTTCTACTTAGCATTTAATAAAATAGCGGAATGTTGTAGAAAAAACAACGTCGGCTTAATTACATTCCAAGAAGATTTTTATTTTCTTATATACGTGGTTAAATATGAGTAGTTCTCTAATTTTATGAGCACCTTGGAATACATTCAAACGTATGACAAAGGAATTTATTTATTTATATACTCTACAAATACTTTGGAATAATCTCATATAAGATTTAACCCTTTCAACTTATTACCGATCTGTAATAGAAACTGGATATTGGACTCATATTTAACAACAAACCAATCTAGAGCGTTGTACAAATATATACAGCGCCTCCCGGACACAATCGAGTCTTTGTTGCAAGAATAAGGTTACCACGACAGCCCATTTTATTTTTGATAGAAAAATAAAAGTAAAAACAATATACAGACAGTGCTTGTGGATTTAAGATAGTTAGCGTAAGTCTATTTCATTTAGCTATCTCGCTATCAGATAACAATAATTATAATTAATAATTACAGTTGAATAAAAGTGTTAAACATCGGTGTGCATGTTTATCTAAGGAGTCATTAGATTTTACTGCTAATGAACTGATTGTTTATTTTTTTGTTTTATTTTCAATTCACCTCTAAACAACCCTTTAACCAAAGTCACAAAATTTAAAAAATTACAAAATGAAGATACTCAATTAAACTGGTCACTTATGCTGACCTAGCCGCACGTAGGTGGCGTTATAAAAATAAGCAATGGAAACCGTTTTCCAAAGCAATCGAAAGATGATTGATGAATTCCACTTGTGTTGAACTCTTGAAATGATTAATCGATGGTGAATCACTTGCTTCCAGTCGGGATGAGTGGAATGATGATAAATACGGGTGATGACGAATGAAATTTTTTGTTTATTTTATTCTATGAGTATCAATAAAAACTGCCTATCATCTTTTTTGCCTTATAGCGCCAGATAAGGCTAAGGATGTCCACAGTATTCCACCATTGCGTCTTGTTTTGGGTCAAGGTTCAATGTGTGCTTAAAATGGCCAAACTTCCTCTTCCCTTATGGAATTCATTTCAGAGTTTGTCTAAGAATGTAGTAAAGAGCTCTTCTGAGTGTGTGATCGATCCATGTCCACTTACAATTCTGTTGACTGATCCGTGCTAGAGAGACCCCGCAGTCCTTCATTAGATGCCCTTTCAGGCCTGAAAAATCCAACTAAATACCGTAGGCATCAGTTTATTAAGACTAGGTCTGCTGTATGATGATAGTGTACGTTTCGAACCCATATAACATTTTTAAGTTTTTTTTCTCCTTTTCAGGTTCTTAAACCGACGTATTAGTCGCTTGTGCGCTGAGCGCCAGGATAGTAGAGTTATCCTGGCGCGAGGCTGCAAAAGCCCAGGGCCATATGCCGGAACCGGAGGAGTTGGGGGAGCGCAGGGATCGGAAAAAGAGGTTAAGAATTATAAGTGGAGTACTTGCGGACAAAGAGGCCATCGCACCTATAGAAGTATAAGTAGACGGCTTGTTCAGCAATAACAGGGCCGTCACACCTGTGTAAGTTTAATAACAAATTGAAGATTAGAAATTAGGTTAGCGTTTCACTACAATCCCGTAACCCCTAACTCGGAACAATATCATCATTAGAGAAAGTTTTGTTTGCTTTTTTTTGTACTAAATACCTCTCTAAATTTGTATTACAGATCATTGATGACATTAAACCAGCTTTTTTTAAAACATTTAAAAAATAATCTCCATTATAAAATCGTCTAAATATATCAATGAATAATGGAAGTTTAAAACTACCACAATCGTTAGGGTAGTAAAACTTTTTAGGGGAAAAGAAAACATGTGATAAAGTCACGCCACAAATGGGATTTTGTAATAATTATTTTAATCCCTTAGATGTAGAAATATTAATGGAGTTTAACGTGAGCGTAAAGGGCTTTGTTTGCTGACAATCAAATTCATTGCCAATATATACTCTGCCGAAATACGATAGTATCAGTGACGGTCTTACAAAGGATTATGGGTTAAGCTTTAACATGCAAATTACTAAAGGCAATCCAATTGTTAACAGAGTAATTGGTTTTCTTTCACTAAACCATTAAATTAGTTTAATATAGTTTTGTTTGGGAGTTACTTAGATAATATTAGGTCCTTATAGGTCCCTTAGGACATATGAAATCGGCGTTTTGTACGGAAGGAATATAAAGTCATTTTTTTTGTAAAATATATTTAATTAATCAAAGTATGCACTTTTGCCATCTCATGGGTAGTTCATTGATCCCTATACTAAAAAACCATGTGGCCGAGATTCAATACACTCTTTGAAGGTGGTTTGGATTGCCGCATCGGATTTGAATTTTTTCCTTGTTGTCCAAATTTACCAAGAAGTTGTCCAAATTCCGGAATAAATGGTAATCGGTTGGAGCAGGGACCGGAGTATGGTGGATGTCGCAGACATTCCAATTGTAGCTCATCTAACTTAGTGGTTGTTTGCTGTGCAGCTGTGTGGTCTTGCGTTGTCGTGAAACAGCAGTGGCCTAGAGCGATTGAATCGGTTGTTTAGCAGCTAGTTCTTTCTTCGGTTTGCAGTTGCTGACAATAGATATCTGCCGTAATCGTTTGCCCAGATTTTACTAAGCTGTAGTAAAAGACACCGGCGCTAGTCCATCAAACACACACAAGTAACTTTTTCCAAGTCAAATTTCGTTTGGGTCAGAATTTGGCTCCGTCTACAGAGTTAAGCCATTGCGACGAGCACTCAATTCATCAGGTACCCATCGTTCAAGTTTTTTTTACTTTGCCGATTTGCTTCAAGTGGATTAATACAGTTTTACCACTTACCCCGAAGCCTGCTATCTCTGAAGTGCTTTGTGATGGATCCGCTTCCTCAATAGCATTTAATTTTTCAATTTCCACTTTTGTCTCCGGCCGTCCACGGGATTGGTTCCAATGGTTGAAATTTCCAAAACGAAACCGTTGAAATCAAACACGTTGCGTGCTTTCTTTGGCGACACCAGCGCCGTACACCATTAATCCTTTGAGCGGTTTCTGCAGCACTGGTGCCACGGTGGAACTCGTATTCGTAAATATACCGATATTTCATGTTTTCCATTGTGCGGTAATAAGCGACGCCAAAGAATAAAATAATGAGGAACAAATGAATGACTGTTTTCAAAACTCAAATATAAACTCAGTTAGATAAATTTATAAATTTGAAAATGGACAGTACGATAAAACGCTAATTTCATATGTAAGGACCTAATAATATATTTTTTTATTACGTATATAAGTGCTACATGATGTCGAAATTCTATGTACTCGTTATAAACGAGATTATTTTGAAAAATGTACTATGGAAGGCTATGATATTGTTAATTTACGACATTATTTAAGAAGATGTAGGCTCGAACCCCGCACCACTGAAAGTTTGTGATGATTTATAGTAAAGTATTATAAATAGGCGTGAGAATATGTTCATTCAATAAATGTGTTTGCTTATACCAATACTAACAGACTCTTACAGAATCATCAAGAATTTGTACTCAAAACGATTACTCTTGTTTACGCGAATATTACACATTTTCATACGTTCCGTGTCGTTCCGGTCGTGACGTCTGTAAAGTATTCGAAACGTCAGGTGTTTAATGACATAAATTAAGAAAAACTATGTTTTATTTCAAGATTATGTTCATTATAATAAGAAAATCGTCCGAATCGGAAAAGAGCAGGAGCTCTTATGCCAGCCTGGTGGTGTTGGCACAAAATGTAATTCATGTTCTTTTTTTTATGTGAATTGTCAAGCGAGCAGACGGTTCACCTGATGTAAGGTGAATACCGCCGCCCATAGACATCTGCTACACCCGAGGGTAGCAGATGCGTTGACAACCTTTTGAAAATTGGGCTCCGGCCACCTCACTCACCAGACGAAACGCGAAAGTATTATACTTCCACTTTACGCCGATCTTCTGTGAGGTCGTGGTACTTACCCGGACGAGCCTGCCCATTCTTGCAACACCCTAGGCTGCTGCATGGCCCTACCACCGTTAATAGTTTTTACTAGTCTAGTTAAGACTGGTCACCTGTTTGACGTCAAACCTTCCTGAAAACAAATGTCCAAGTCCAGAACAATTTCACTAACAGTCCAGAACAATTATCAGTATGTCACCAAGTCCAGAACAATTATCTGTAGGTCACACAAATACTTGTCACGTCCGGGGCAAATTAGTAACAATAACTTTTTCATGCTCCTTTCCTATTCATACGAATTAAAATCTTTAAATAAAATTGTTAATTTAATTAAAAGTAAGTTTATTTCTTTGTTTCAGAATAGTAAACATACACTTGCAGGTCCGCCCGGGCTAGTACCACGACCTCACAGAAGACCGGGGTAAAGTAGAAGTGTTGCACTTCTGCGTTTCGTTTGGTGAGTGAGGTAGCCGGGGCCCACATTATTAAGAAGTGGCAACGCATCTGCAACCCTACGGGTGTTGCAAATGTCCATGGGTAGGCGGTTATCACTTAACATCAGGTGAACCGCCAGCTCGTTTACCACTTTTTCACATTAAAAACAACACGTTTTTTTAATATATCCACGTCATTTTACATTTTTAACTTGCGACACCGTGTTGAACGAAAACACTGAAGTAATACGCTACAAGATTATGCGGTCCAGGTGGTTGACCTAATTTGAAATGATGGGACGGAATTTGCATCATAATTGTGTTTACGCGGGGGACAATTTGAAAAGCAAGCACACGGCGTACTTAGCATATCGCCGCCACCAGGCTCCGCTGGATAACGTATTGCGGTCATTAAGAAACCGACCACGCGCTCAGAGTACACTTCCTTTTCACACTGGACTCGCCAGTGTGTCAGTAAGTCAAAAAATAAATACCCGGACAGTATATTTATGGTCGAAATATATTCTGGCTACTTTTTCTAAACGGTTAATAACCAGGGCATGTATTATAAACAACATTATTTAGTCTCAAACTAAGAAATGGTTGTACATAAAATTTTCTTTTGATTCAGATACTAGAAGAACACTTTCATCACAAGATGTTTCTAGGTACGGGAACGAACCCTCACCCCCTAGTGCAGGAGACAGGTTCACTATCCACTACGGGTCAATATTCAAACATTCTTTATGTACCCAAGACATTACATAGGTGGTGGAAGAGATTGTAGAATCTCTATTTACAAACATACATTTACACGTAGTAGTTCTCCTTTTTTATCTTCTTTAATTTATATTTCTATATTTTAACATTTTATACTACACGCTGGTGATATTTAAGTGGGTAATGAGTGCTTTACTTTTCGAGTAAACGATACTAATGGAGCCAGTAAAGTTAATAGTTCACTAACTTGGACGGACGCGTTAAATTACGTTACTTTAACTTTATCAAGAGTATGAATAGCAAATTTTATGTATACGAATTCTACTTTATTTAAAACTGCCCACACTGATGGGCAAGACTAACAATTTTTCGCTATAATATCACAAAAATTTGAACGCGAAAAACTGAAAACTGATTGATTACATACTGAGGCTCGTAGGCGAGGTTGAGATAGGTGAATGAGCTGAAAGAGATCCCGACAAACAACAATCCACACACATCTTTCAATGTACAATACTCACACATATGAGATTCGAAACCAAACCAAGGATACGGACCCGCGACTGTATCAGTGAATGTATCAGAGGTTAAATTTAGAATCTTTGATTCAGAAATGACATTTGGTGAATCTTTAGTCGAGGGATTTTAAAATATTGCATTTGAATTCTTCACTCCATATTATTTGACTTCATTGGTCAGTAATAATTTTATATACAAATACGAGGTAGACATATCACTTTCACATCGAAACTGAATTACAGAAGAAAGACCGAAAAAACTTAAACACTGCACGAGCGTTACATTAATCTTGAAGATCGAAGACTTTCGCGAATGCGCTATTTTAGAATATACGAGGCTTTTATTATATACTTGTCATACTTGACATGACATATATATACTTAATGCCTATAGTAAACAAGTATATAATCAAAGGTACAAGGTTTATTAATTTATTACCTTCAAAATAGCTATTCAACCTATAAACCCTTCATGAGATTCTAGCTACTTTTGAACATACAAGTGCGCGAGTTTAATTTTTTTTATCTTTTTGAATTATTTAATAAAATTACGTTAGTAAGTTTAATATTTAATAAAATTACGCTAGTTATCCTTATCTATATCTTATCTAGCTATATCCTAAGAAAGATTTAATCTACGACCTCCTCCGAAGGTGATCTCTAAATCTGCGCCTTTACGGAACAGAACAATAAACTACTACAACCTGTCTCTAGGCAAATACTGAACTGATAAGGAAGGTGCGGAGCCGACAAGTCACAACATTAAAACATATTTATGAACAACAAGTCAATTTTTACTAACAATTTTTTTACTAGCAAAGAAAGCAAACTAAACCGACTTCAAATATCTCGCTCTGTATTCATTTTATAATTACCAATGAAATTAATATGGTACCACATGAGAAGCACCAGCTTTCAAATAAAAAAAGAACCATCAAAATCGGTTCTATTACATTTTGACAAGTTCCCTGATGTATCTTTAGAGTCCAAAGTCCAATGTGAATGAAATTAATATCATATGTGGGAATTACCCCGAATCCAATGCAAAAACAATTTTTAAAATTGGTTCATAAATTACGAAGTTCCGAGGTAACAAACATAAAAGATACAACCGAATTTGACAACTTGAAAAACTCATCCTATTTTCAATTCGATTGAAAAGGGTACAAGATTTAGAAAAAAATGATTCATAATTTTTTTGATATATCGACTGGCAGTGTTAGCAGAGTACAGCAACATATTTGTGTATAGTTAAAAAGACACGTAGTTACAATATGTATTAACTTTACTTCCATTATGATGCACCTAAATAACCAAAGCGGATTAGTCGGTGTAATTAGCCTTGATTGCATGGGATTTAGGAAATTAAAGGGAAAGCATCTGGCGTCATATTAAAGATGTCTGTGGGCGGAAACTTATTAATCCCGCAAGGAGTTTAACAGCCGTACTTAAATGTTTCCAAGATATTTTATAAATAGCGGTAGGAGAATTGTAGTTGAGGTTACCCTCAAGAAAATAATAAAATTTGTGTTTAAATATTTCATATTTTTTTTATATTGCGAAAAAATTAATTTTGTGGAAGGACACAATATGTATAAGATTAAGTGTAAGAATAACATAAGAATAATATTCTGTTTGGAAGTTATTTTCAAACTTTATCAATATTTTTAAAAGTAATTAACTTTAAAAAATATTGATATTATAATGTAGGTATAAATTGTAAATTCACCAGACCAGCAACATGCCAATAAAGCTAACTCCATTTCTAGCTAGCTAAATGGCTTACTTAACCTTTGAAGTATATAAATTATTTATAAGAAGTAGAAAAAAACAACACGTGTCAGGTCATGGACCGACAAAACATTAGCAAAGACGAAACTGAATAGAACGCATAAGCCGCTCTGTATAAGCACTTAACGCAAAGAGCTATATGAGGACTTTAAACCCGAGGCTCCGGCATTAAATATGCATTGTAACCTCTAAAGCAGTGTAATAGACATCCTCTAACGAGAACTTTCCTAAGACGTCTTACGTACATAAATTTATTGATGACTGAAATATGTAACGAACTTATTATATACTTAATAGAAAGTACCTGGAGGGCCGATTACTGAGTAATGAAATATGCATAATATTTTTCGATCTTACCGCGACGTAATCATAAGAAATTATGAACTGATGTTTTTCACAAAGAAAGAACTTTAAAAAAAAGGGTAAAAAGAACAAAATCATCTGGATCGAAAAAAAGTAAAAAAAAGTAAATGATCGTGACAGGAACCACGGCCTTCTGTTTCGGGGCCGCCCGATTATCGACGGAGCTATTATAAAATATTTTTTTCGGTGAAATTTACCGTCGTATTCGAGTGATATTTTTCATTCCCTGAAAACTGGGATAATACGTCATTTTCTAAAATTGAAACCTAGCCAGATCGACTTTTCGCCCCCGAGTCTACGCACATACTAAATTTCATTATATACAGCGTGTCGTTACCATCGCGAAAATAAACGAACACACGTCTAACGCTACTTGCCAATAATCATAAAAAAATATTAACGTTAAACAAAATCCATAATTAAAAAATTTTTTTTTTTCAAACAAACTAATTAAGTAAAAAAGAAACAAAATTTGCAACATCTTATACAACTCGCGCCACAGCGTCGCATTACAAGCCTCTCCTTCTAACAGTATGTTTTGTCTTTTTTAAATTCATTCAACCCATTCATATGCTTTGTGACCTTTACAAATGAAATTTACGTTACAGTTTGATACGTTAGGTTGTTCTAAAATTGTTTGTTTTGGAAAATTTAATAACTCTGTAAATATTGATGTTTAAAGAATTTAAATGTTTAATACAAATTTAAAAAGTTATCCCCTATATGTGTGTTCATTTATTGTCCCGATGGTAACGACACGCTGTATATACAAGAATTGCTCGTTTAAAGGATAAGATATTGACAACAATATGATTACAGACATTGACATATCACTCAGCTTACTTAGGCTCGAACGTGATAAGTTGTTAAATGCCTTAAAGCATTGCATGCAAGATAGGTTAAATGCGAGACACTGATTTGCACGCAAGAAATCTATAAGACAGAAAACCTATTTTGGTAGACAGCGCTGAGCTCAAATCCGCAACTTTAATTTCGAAAATACAACTTCCTGGCCAGGCTATCAACCATTTGACAAAGCCCATTAAAAATATTTGAAATTATTTTATAGTAAAACAAAAACTTTTTAAACATGTAACATACATTGCATAATTATACTATTTAAACTATTCTAATTCTTCAATATTAGACCGGTAAATAGATATTAAATTGAAAGGCGTAGAAATAAAACATTTATGTGTAAAAATACCTTTATCTTCTAAGCCACACTAATGTATTATGCACTATAAACTAATTCGGGTGTAGTGATTATTTAATTCATGGGTTTAAGTTGATAAATTGAAATAATTAAAAAATTTTCCCAAAAAAAAAATTAATTCACCTACACCTCAATGAGTACCGTTCCATTTTCTGTAAGCAAAAATTACACTACATTATTGTAGGTATCTATCCAACAAACATATTTAAATAAGAAGAAAATGCTTAAAAATTTCTACTCAGGTAATTCATTAATATACGCTGTTTTTTCTCTGGAACAATGTAATCTGAAATGTAAACGGGAAGCTGAAATAAAATATTAACTTAATCCGTGTTAAATGAGCTTTAAATTAAACATCAGAGATTCGCTGAAAGCTCAGAAAGGAAAACGTTAGAGAAAACAGAACTGGACTTCCACATTTTCATGAATTATTCAGGCATTCATTCGTATTTTTAATGCGTGAATGTGCCCTAATGAATTAAGTTGAAACAAAATTCTCTTTAACATCGGCGTAATAACGGGAATAGTGACACTCATTCACGTGAAACATAACATCATAATTAGTTGCATTTTGTCAGAATGATACCAGAAAGTTCCGCATGATAAATTATAAGTCAAAAATGTAAATTAATCGACGTACACCAAGTATACATATTAATTTAAGTAAAAGTCATAAATTACTAATAATCATTAAGAATGGAACCCCACTTCTGATTTCGCATCGATTTGCCCAAACTATGAGTGCTGTGTAGTTATTAGACATGTCATATTATACGATATAAATATATGTATGAATTCGTATGT